CGGAATAGGGAGGAGAGGAGGGAAAAACGGGAATGGAAGAGAAGAGAGGAAAGAAAGAAAGAGTCTGACCCATGCAATGCGCCAAAAAAAAAAAGGAACGAAATATGAGGTCACGTGAGGACGACGAAATCACGTGCAGAACGACCAGAGCTTGGCTCTTTTATTACTTACTAGGAGGGGATCACTGCGCGATGCGCGGTGTTAATTTCATGCTGCCCAGAAAATGCCCAGATTTTCAAGTGGAGATATCATAAATCGTATGCATTGCATTTAAGTTATTTGGTTATAAAATGATTAAGCTTTTAAATAAGCAATGTTGTAAGAAAATGTGAGTAAATAAAGGTTTGCATCTAACATGGTGTCAAGAAAAAGAGCGAAAAGAAAATAATTGAGGCGAATAAAATTGAAGCTCATAGTATGATTTTGCTTCATGTAGAGATGGGATGAAGTGTTGGGAGAAGTAAATGGGAGATTCAAAAATATTAAACAATGAGTAAACACTATTAATTTTTTCTATTATTCTGTGGAGGATTGATTATCCGTGGTGTTTTTAAATTTACAACGAGCATTAATATTGATGTTGTTCAATCGTTTCTATATTGTTTATCCAATTCTTTGCATGTAACATGAAAATCGGAACAACTAACGCAACAACTCTAGTCAGGAGAATGGAAGTGTGACACATGGTATGACGTAGGTGTACACTGAGAATGAAGGGGGTTCATATTTTTGAAAATGGATCCTCCGTGCAACAATCTATCTTCACAGTCAATAGAAACGTTCCCTAACCGAAGTTTATTGTTGGGAGAATGAAATAACCAGTTGACAAATAAAAAGGCGGAATTCTTGGCGCACTTGAGTTTCATGCCATAACAGGCCATTTATATGAAATTAATTACTGATTATGCGGAAAAAGGTAGCAGGAAAACGATGAAAGCATGCAAATTGCCCAATCCTAGCCATCTAACTTGCAAATTGTTGTGATGACAGATGTTGAATTATTTGAGGCCATACAATTAGGAGGCATATAATTAGTAAAAAGAATTATTGAATTAAAGAGGTAAGTGAAAATTGCAATTCAGTGTCATTGAGAATACAACACACCGTAATTGGACAAAATTAGGAAGTACATAATAGGTCCAATATACACAATATGATGCATTGAAACAAAAGTTGGTCACTATCTTTACAAACAAAACCTCTTATTTAAAATGTAAAAGGTACATAATGTCTACAATAATATGTATCCAAAAATGAGGCTAATAAATAATCACTGTAGATCCATGCAGGGCAGACATAGAAATAATTCCAATCTTGATTCTAGGGGTGCATGACACTTCAATCATGATAATGCAAGGGAAACGGTAAGAGTTCTTCCACTCTTCGGGCTTTGACTCATTGCTAAGCAAAACAAGCCAAACAAATCATTAAGCATTCTCTCAAATAATTTACTTAATTTGAACTCAAGCCACACAATCAAATAACAGTAAGTATAAAGATATCTGATTGGGCCTAGAACAACAAAGCCTAAAGAAGTGTCAGATGTTTTAAATGAGGTCCTTTAATCTCCATATCTTGACTAATAACCTGCACATAGAGCAGCAGAAACATATTCCAAGGAAAGTGAAGAAAATTCTCTTAACAAATTTAGCAAGTCAGCAAAATGTTGAACACAAAGTCATAGCTCAGGAAATCCTCATCAATCCATTTTAGCTGTGAGGAGTAAAGACAAGTTACATTAAATAGCTATCAATGATACAGTCAACCAAACACAGTAGCTCTAGTATGGTAAAAGAATATTGAAATGGTCAAATAATAGTGAATTTCCCAAAGAATAGGAAACTTAAATGACCAATGCCTATCTTAGGGCCAAGTAACCCAAGGGTCTTTTCTTGAAACTCAATCTCTAGCTTTTTCTTAACATTTTAATCATTACAGTAATGACCATAATGATTTCAGTATCAGTATTTCAACTTGCACTTCTTTGCACACCTTTCTTCTTTTCTTTTACGTCCCTGCTCATACTACCAATGCCTCTCATCCTTTTTTCAACAAGTTTATACCCATAAATATTGAAGTTCAAGAAATGAACCCAAAAGTTAAAGATGAAATATACAAATTTATTACCAAGTAAAACTTACTCTAACAACAAAAGTGTAATCAATCTATAAAATTCATCAATGAAAAGAAACTAATGATTCGTTATTCAAAAGCCCACCAAAAGAAGATGACATTTTCACACTACAAAATAGTCTATCTAGATTGCCAAATAAGGAAGCTGACATGCTATGGAGTTCCAAATATGGATGTGCATAATATCTGCTCAACCAACTCACCTAGTTTAAGATATTCTCACCTATCAATTAAATAGAAACTCAATTAATTTGAACTTATACTATCATTAAAACCCAAAAAAGGAAAAACAACAATAAAAGGTGAACAAACACCTACTTAAAGGCTATCTTCACCATTTGTTTATTCCTGGACCATAAATAAAGATTGCTTCTTCCTGTAGTGGATACTAGAAAAAGAAGAAAGAAGAAAGAAAAGGCCAGAGATAAAAATCTGATGGGGAAAAATTTATCCCTGAGAAATTTCAATGGCAAAGTACCTTCGGTTGTGTAGACAATCATCTCTCTAGTCTTACTCTCAAACATATACTACTTTAGAAATATTGACTTGTCCTAAAAGATGCAGAGACAGAAATTGCATGAAGACCAGGTCCCATAATCAATGAAAAAACAAGAAAAGAACAAAAGGATTCAACTTTTAACCATTGCAAAAAATGATTCCTGAACCAGCTTAGAGGTTTCTTCGGAAAATCTTTAAACTTCTCTGCAAAAGTGAAAGTGAAAAGTCTTAACCTCGACCCTTTTGTTCCATATTAGTTAATGTTATTTATCATTTAACTTCTGATTTAACAAATGCACTTGGTATAATTTTGGCAGATTTCATTTTGATAGGTAAAAGGATTCACTCAAAGCTAGTATTTAAAAGAAGAATATTAAAATCTAAAAAAAAAAGGCCCAAAGTACCGTGAAAAAAATAGGAGCAAGAGCTTTACCACAATTTTTTGCCATCCTCCACAAACCTCTGTCATAGAGGGAAAGGTCACAAATTGAAAAGGGAAACAAACCAAAGCAAAAAACTTGTGGGCTAAAAAGTTTCTTACCACAGAGGTTGTTCTTCCTTTTCTTCCTCACTCTGTAAAAATGCAAATTGTAATATGAGAGTATAAACGAAGTAAAAAGATGGGAAAAATCACAGATGAATGTGCGCCAAGAAAAGAAGCAATCAGTGTTTCTATAACAGGGGCTCTACAATGCATAGGTGTTTTAGGGATTAAATGCTTCTAGAATGCTTTAAGAAAACACTATAACTCGTACTTTCTGTCAAACAGCACTAGAAAAAATGTTTACAGAGGAAAATAGGAAATGTTCATGCCTATTTTTTAGTTAAAACCCAATAAATTCATCTTCCTTTCTATAAAAATAATAGTATAATCCAATAAAATAAAAAGACAAAATAAAAACTTCAAGTGATTTGAGAGTAGAGACCGAAATTAAAAGGACAAAGTTTTTATCGGCAAAAAATAAATAAACAAATAAATCAATAGATAAATAAAGTAGAACAGACCTTTGGAGGACAAAAAAGGATGGAATATATCCACAAGTACTTGCATTTGCATCCCATAAAACTTGTCATCTTTTTCCTGCAAAGATAATACTATAAAAATTAGGAAATCAGATAATAAAACATAAGACACATAAAATAAAATAAACAATCTTAAGATATAAAGATTAGAAGATCAAAGTTCTTATCGCTAAGAAAATAATTGAGTAACAGAGATATTAAACCAAGCGTTATTAATTTTTAAGCAAATAAAAACCATTGGAAGAACAGAGAAAAGTTGAGTAAATCTACAGGTTATTTGTAGCTCATCTCATCTAAAAAGATCAGAAACAAAAGCCAGAAAATTGAAGGTCATTTGTGGTTGTTGTTGACCTTAATTTTTTATTAAAAGAAACTTTAAATGGGGATTTGATAAGGAATCAAGAAAAAGCATTAGTACATCCGTTAGGAGAGGGTGTTAGCAAAACACCCTGACAAATAGTTGATGGCAATAAATAGAACGGGAAGTTGATGACAAATAGTTGAGCAAGCGAAAGGGAGATCACCTCTGACAGAGCAGGGACAGAAGAAATGGGGTGAATGGTTTTCCGATGAAAGGAAAGTGAAAGTGAAGATGAATAACCAAAGTTGGCATGCTTGTTCAGGTATCCAAGAAAACGAATTTCTGGTCTACTCCGGGCAGCAGCAGGTCTTGTTGTCGGAGCTTGGCACCAAAAACCGGTACTGGTATGCTCGTCTCTCGGACTCTGATTCTCCACCTATACAAGTAGCTTCGCGGATGAAGCTGCCAGAGTCTCATGCGTTTAGGAGCTTCATATCCAAACCAACTCTAACAAGGGAAAAAAATCAGTTAGAATCATATAATTGAAAAAAAAAAAAGGAAAGAGAAGAAAGGGAAAAGGTGGGAGGGGGGAAACGGGAAGGAAAAACAGAGGAAAAAGGACCAAATAAAAAACAACAAAAAGGAACAAAGGAACAAAGAAAAGAAAAGAAAAATGGAAGGGGAGAGGAGAGGAGCTCTGGAGAGCAACGAAGCGACGGAAATGAATGAGGGGAAAGAAAACAAGGGAAGCCCTAAAACAAAATTTTTGGCACGTGAGAAACACATGATGGACGACCACTATCCAGCCAATAAAACTTGGCCACGTCAGCACAACAACCACCATTTTTAAAAGATTCATTCGCGCTTTTACTATATAGGTTGATAATAATAATAATAATTAATGTAGATAAAATTACTATTTTTTATTAGCCAAAAAAAATTGAGGAACAGTGTTTTTAGGCCGGTTATAGTGCGATTGTTAGCAAGTTTTGGGGTGTTTCGGCCATTTGGCTGTAGGACTAATTGGGGTTTATGGCCTCTAGATTGGGGCCGGTACCCAGTCTAGACTCCACAGGCTGGATACCGATGCAGAGTTCTAATCTTCTCTCTGAATAGCCTGCGATCATTTTGTTCCTTACCCTGTTACCCATGCCCCTAGCCCTCCTTGCCCCTGCCCGGCTCCTCTCTTTCCCGACAAGGGCCAATCCCTTCTCCTCTCCCACAGACCAAGAAGAAGGCCAAAAATTGGCAAATGCAGCAAGTAAAGGGAGATTCAGACAAAGAAACCTCGCCACCATCAACACCTTCATATTCTAGGTTTTCTCTTTTCTTTTTTGGGTTTTAACCATCTTTCTGAATCCTTTTTTTCCCTTGTGCCGTTTAATTTCGATGTTGAAAATCAATTGCTCTCTCTCTCTCTCTCTCTCTCTCTCTCTCTGTCTGTCTCTCTAATAATTTCCTGCAATTTTCTATTTTTTCGTTTGTGCTCATTTGCTTAAATTAAGTGGTTAATTAGCTTCTGTAAATTTAATAATTACCATGGAACTTAACGTTTGTTAGTATTATGTGGTTGAATAGTTGGAGATTTTCTTGTAAGTTTGGAAATCAGGGAGGGGAATGCCCCCTTTCTTGCCTAAGATGCACTGGATTAGGCTTTTCAGAATTGGTCACTTAAGAGAAAGATTGAACTGGGTTGGGTGATGGGGAGTGCCTTGTATAAGATGTCACCCACTGAAGTAGCCTTCAACCCACTGAATTCGTTTAAGCGGATTCCATTACTTAACAATTTTCATTGCTTGACTGCTCATTGCTCCTGCTTTTTGTTGAATGACTTGGTGGTTTAATAGTTTTTTTCTAATCTAAAACTTAACACCCTAAAAAAGGCCAAATAAAAGGCTCAGGCACTAAAGATGGCTAAGTTTGTCAAATATGTGAGGACTGTCAGGAAGAAAGCCAAGAAGGTTCATACACAAATGACCTTCCAGGGTCCTAAGACATTGAAAAAGGATGAGAACCCAGAGTATCCATGCATTTGCGCTACTCAAAGGAATAAATTGGACCATTATCAGATTCTCTAATATCTTTTGACTTCAGAATTTGCCAAGAAGAAGATTGAAGATAACACTACATTGGTTTTGATAGTTGACATGCGTGCTAATGGGGAGATTAAAGATGCACTGAAGAAGATGTATGACATTTAGACCAAGGAATTGAACCCTTTGATCAGGTAACGATTGCAGGTCACAATGGCATTTTAGCTTGTTCCTTTTCAGAATGCTAAAAATAGTTTGTTGATTGGTCTTAAAATGGTGTGTTTGCACAGTGTTGCCCTTCTTATCTTGAAGACATTGTATTTAGCAATGTTTTGGCTATCCATTTTGAATATACAACCAAAGTGAAAATGTTTATGCCACGCTTATGTGCTTTAGAAGAACTAAAGCTCTAAACTAAGATCGCCAAACATTTTAGATATTGAGAGATTGAGCAGTGGAGTGTTATTGCGTGATACCTTTTGCCTGCACATGCCCCATCCGAGCCATTATATTTGCAACCCAAGCACGAATTAAGTTATGCCACTAAGGCTATTTTGAGGATTGTGTTTAAAAGTAGAAGTTATCAAATTGGAAGCCATTAAAGTCTCTCACACATATTTTAGGCATCAATTCAATTATATCTGCTTCATTTAAGTGCATTCTGTTCAAGTTTTGCTTCAAATTTCATGTAAATTATTTTTTGTAAATTGGAAAGTGAATATTGAGTTTTTAGTGCTCATTTCGTTTGCATTTTCAAGGTATAGAAGAGTTACAAGAAACCTTGACACATGATTAATTATCTTTTTGTGTTAGTACTTTGTAGAAATTGGCTGCAAGATTCAGACTAGGGGCCTAAACTCTTTCATTTTCAGTTTTTGTGATTGGGACTTTGATGCCACATATTGGGGAGCAATGGGTGGCCCTTGCTAGACTGCTTCCTCTAACTTTGGAGGGGTTACAAGAGTAGAACAGGGACTCAGGGAAGTGGACTACAAGCTATTAGTTCATGTGATGACCCCGCTTTCCCCCTAAGGCGTATCCCAAGGTTTAGCGGATCGCCTGCCCCGCTCTCGCCAGAACTCACTACAGCCCTCAAATAAATTACAATGTAAATCTCAAATACTATATCAAATACTCCATGAATTTACATACCAAAAGTGAATCGAAATTCAAAATATACATGAGATATTCCATCCAGTCACACTAATAAGTTAATACAAGTGCTTCCTTTGCCTCGAGTCCTGTGGAGATGAAATAAATATTTTGGGGTGAGCTAGAAGCTCAGCGAATGTCCAGTAAAAATCAATAATCAAATAAGTTTCACAATAGTGCATTTAGATGATATCATGAATCAGTGATCAAATGTAAGTTTATTGCTTTTGTGAGCCAGTGAAATCATTGTACTTAAACATTCAATGCTCAAATAGATCAAGTACCAGTTATGCAATACAAGGGAGCCATCGGTGCTCCAACATTCAAGGCAAGTCAAATGTCAATAAGGTGGAGACGTTAGTGTTAAGCACAAGGCTTCCAAGCACTCATTTGAGCCAAATCATTGTATGACACACACGCAAGCACACATGATATGCAATCGAGTAAACAGTGCAAGCAATAGTTCGAAAAGTAACTTTGGAAACAGTTTTGGAATCACTCACCAACCACAGCTCATGATCCTCATCTATCATAGATAGTTTCCCTGCTCAAGTCCAAGTCCTAGATCACAAATATCATGTCAATCAAAGGAAATTCTAAAATCATCAAGTTCCTTTCACCTTTTGGCATTTTAATCACAACTGAATCTACACTTATCGGATTGAGATGAATCTTATGGTGTTTCGAAACTAAGACATAGGCCTACATTTATTATGAAGACCTACAAAGCCAAATCATGTATTTTCATGGTAAAAAATTGAAATCTCAGAAAAAGTAAAAGCTGTCGGTTAAACAGGGCATTTGGGCAATTAGGGGTATTTTAGTCATTTTACAAGTTACAGTGCTCCGATTGAGCTGAAATTTTTTGGGTAGAAAGCTAACTCAAATTCCTACAACTTTCATGTTTTGAGCAAGAACTGATTTGGCGTTTATCATGGACGAATATGCAGTTCAAGTGGTGAGTGCAAATCTGGAATAATGCTGGCCGCAAAGAAATAATTGGGAAACAAGAGATGTCTTCAACAAAACTTAACTTCCATGGCTCAAATCCAACATACAATCATATAAACTCAAGTATCTTCAAAGATTAGTGGGTTGGTAATACTTTTACCTCATTTTTCCATCAAAACCCAAGAGGAAAGCCACCAAGAAGCTCAAGAAAATTCTTCCTCCAAGGCTCCTCTTCAAGCTTGATTCAAGAGTTTATGGAGCAAACATGTTTCCTCTCTTGTTTGAGTAAGAAATCATGGCTGGAAAATGAAGCTTTTCCTCTCTCTTCTCTCTCTATCATCCGGCCACCAAGAAGGAAAAATGGAAGAAGATGGAACAAGTTGGTAGCTTCTTTGGTTTATAAAGAAAATGGGTTGGCCAAACCTTGAATGGAATTTTGACAAATGTCAATTGGTAATTCCTTCCTTTCAAAATATCTTTGAAATCTTGCCAATAAACCTTTCATTTCCACTCAAATATAGTTTGCACATCCAAATAAGCTTGACTAGTTCAATTAACCCTTGCAAATGCTTTTAAAATTATTGAACGGAAACAAGAAGGTATAAAATTATATAAAAATCATTTTCCAATCACTAAGAAATACAATTCATTCAAAGTAGAAAATTTTAAAAATAATTTTGTTTTCGGGGCGTCACAGTTCAAAGACAAGGCTAGTGTTGCGATCCTTGATGTTTGTTGTGGATTTTATTTTGTGGGATAATCCAACTGACTAAGCCACACTCATAAGTTGTCTAGTATTTCTAAAAGTAGTAGGCCGACACTTGTTGGCACAGCTGCAGTTCGTGTCAAACTAGCAGCAACATTGCTTTTTGTAGACTTGGCAGTATTCCGAATGCATCATATAATGCATGTCACTGTGTTTCACTACAATCATTGGATAGCAGATATCATAGTGGACTTCTTCCAAGTTGGAACTCAAAGATTGCTAGGTTAATCAATTTTTTGTATTGAAACTTGATGAGCATAGAACCTATGAATATTAACTCTTTTTTCCCTCTAGAATGTACATTCAACGTGCATGCTATTCAGTGATTGTACTCGATATAAAGACCATTTATTTATTATTATTATTTTTTTGAAAAAAATTTCTTTTCAACATTTTTATTAATGTTAAAACTGTATTTGGGACGTCGTGGGGCTCCATCGTGTTTTAAGTAGCTAATACATTATGCATTTAGGTTTGATGGTACTTACAAATGTTACTAAATTTGTTCTTCTTTACAAATCTGGGCACCCCATGCTGTGCGTGGGGCTCCATATCTAGTTCTCCTTTAAGCCTCTAAAAATTGGAGTTCTTTCTCCTCCTCATCATCAAGAATCATTCTAAAAACTCAAAATCAAGATCATCATCATCAATGAACAATACTTGGTCTATGGAGAGCGAAGTGAGGGGGGTAGCATTCCTTTCTTCTAAACCTCTAAAAATTGGAATTCTCCTCGGATCAAGACATATGTTGGGCCACAACCAATATCAGTCGCTGGTACTCTCCTCTTTACATCTCTGTTTCGGTGCTGAAAATTTGCACACTCTGTTTCAAAATTTTGCTGAACAAAGAATTTTGGGGTTTTTTTTTTTGAGATTCTCAGGAAATGGATTCTGATTTTCGTTGAAGGGAGGAATTAAATGTTTTTTGTGGGTGTTTGATGAGCTTGCTCTCCTTTTTGCTAAAACTGAAATTTGGGTTTTTGGTGATTTTTGATGAAATCATTTGGTGTTTTGTTTTGTTTGGACAGAGGGAATTATATGGTTTTTTGTCAGTTTTTGATGAGATTGCTGTAGATTTTTTTTAATATAATTACTACAGACAGTCTTTTTAGTAAGAATGAACTTTGGCTTGGGTTTGTGCTCAGATTGAATATAGATTTTCTTGTTCTTGGAAATGTGAACTTTGGGGCTTTTGTAGGTTCCTGATGAAATTTAATGTTTATTTGTTGTTATTGACAAAAAGAATTGTGGGTTATGGGGTTCCTGAGAAAATTGAACTTGCATTTTTATTATGGCTTTCCCACTTTGTTTGAGACTTTGGGGCTCATGAAATTGAATAAAAACTTTTTGGGTCTTGAAAGAAAGAATTCTTGGTTTTTTGGGATTTTCTCTACATTTATGTTATGGTTTCCCCACTTTTTTTTTGGTTTTTTGTTGGTTTGTGATGAATATGAGTGTATATTTGTTGTTCTTGAAAAATAGAATTGTGGGTTTTTGGGGTTTTCTAAGGAAATTGAACATGCACAATTATTTTATCTTTCCCACTTTGTTTCTTGGATAAATTTTGTATGATGAATTATGATTTTGGATATTGATATTAAGTGTTATTAAATTTGATTTTGCTAGACAATGCTTTTATTTAATATGAGGTATGTTATCATGCGGATATGCACCGAGTTATTCTTGGTATTTGGATATTTTTTTCAAGAAAACTTACAGCTACTAATTCTCTCACTTTATGTGTTAGAAGTGGAGCTATGGATATGTACTTCCATCCAAGTTTTTATCTTTCAATTGCAGATTGGCTTGTATTTGGTTATTTAACCAGCACAATGTTTTTGGCTTATTTACAGGATATTTAGGACAGACCTGAAAATTTGCATGATTCATTCATTTTGGTCATGTCTTATTCTCTTTCTCTAAGGACCCTTTTGTTTACATGTTACTTTCTCGAAATGCAAATTTTTTTAGCTACATACTGATTTTGCTTGTAGGAGGTCATAGTCAACTGGAGTATTTGAAACTTAAAGCACCTTATGAAGTGAGGCAAAGATGACAAAGATACTTCACTGCTGGAGGATGAGCTTCGTAGCTAGATTATGGATATGGATTAAAAATTTTGAAGGACAGTAGCATCAATTTCCTTTGCATTGTTCTGATGCTTGGAATCTCTTGGGTGAGGACCTTGGTCCTTTAAACAGCAGGAACTTGAATCATTGGAATTGTAGCTTGATGTGTCTCTGAAGTAGGCCTACTCAGGTAATGAACTATACCATTCTCCTTTTCTATTCAACTCCATACAATGCCTCTTTGAGTAAGTTTGCATGGTCCATTCACATTTGTCCTATCTCAATGCCTCTCCAATTATATTTACTTGTATTTATTTTGTTTGGGAAATGTTATGGTCTTATTTTAGTGTTTTAGGATTGACCTGAAAAGTTGCAAGGTTAAGTCTCGTGTTTTTTAGTGATTGTAAATTTTTTGAGTTCCTTATTATCTGTTGGGCAATGTGCCTAGTGCCTTATTTATATGTATGGTCCATTGATGAGATATCGAATTTGGCTTAGAATGATAAATAGATTCCTTGAAGGTTGGCATCTTGTCCATTAATTAATGATGTCATTGGTAGCAACAATGCTGGTAATTGAATGAAGAATTTTGTCAAGATTAAAACATTTAACTTAATCATTGGGAAAATGAATACACTATCTAACTGGTATCAGTATTGTTACTTACTTATCTGTTCCCTGTGGCTTGGTGTGGAATAATATAAACATTGAACTTGCATGGTTTCAGTTACTTTGGACATTTTTCATGCTTTCTAGTGATTGTGGAGTTTTTGAGTTCCTTATATTTATCAGGAAGGTGCTTAACATTTTAGTTATTTAGGTGTCACTGTTGAAATGGAAATTTTGTTTTGAAATGTTAAGTGCTTATCTCCTTCTCTTGTCTTCTTATTCTTCTTCTTCTTTTGCTTTCTTCTCTTGCTTTCATGTGCTTTCTTTCTTCTTCTAGCTTTTAAGGTATGAAAAGCCTATCAATTTCATTACTGCATTCAAAGGTCAACACAGAATCAATTCCACGAGTTTCTGTTTTGTTGAAAATTCTTGTTTTGTTTCTGAAAGTGGCTTTCAAAACAAATTTTGGAAGTTTCTTTTCAATTATTGTGCAATCTGAAATTCCTAGATGAATGCTTTGGTCTAAAATTGAAAGTATAAGTTCATCTTTGGGCTCAGATTGAGGTCAAAGTTAAACTAGCTTTTTGAAGAAATGAGAAGATGATTTTTGTTGAACATGGCAAACTGAACCCAAGAAATTGTTAGCAAAATCAGAAAAGAAAGCCAAGTTCTTGACACTCATGTCTCATGTTCAAACCGTTTTGGTGTTGATGACTTTTTGGCTCATGTTGTACATCTCTAAACCACGTACATTCTGATGTTCAGACCTTTTTGGTGTATGACTTTGTTGTACATATCTAAACCATCAAAATATGAAACCAGCAACATGACATGCCTCAGTTATTTACTTCTCTTAGGACCTGACATAAAAAGACCAATGTGATGTTGGCCTTCTTATTGCTACCATACACAATTGAAACGTTGTCAATTCTTTTTGCTACCTTCAGAGTTGAGAATTATTCAACCCCTTGTTGATCGCACCCCACTCTGGGGTTAATTTTTGAGGGAGATCAGATGGAAGCTTGAGTAGAGAACTTGCTGCTTATTGATGAAATCAAGAAGGCTTAAACTTGTTACAGCTTCAAATTTCAAGAGTTTGAAATGGTTATATCTCAATAGCCAAAATAAAAAAGAGACTTAGAAGAGCTCAAAAAAAAAAAAAAAAAGAGCTCAAAAAAAAAATAAAAAAAAAGATTGAGAAGAGCTCAATTCTCAAGGGCTGACAATGTTTACTTCTCCCAAAAAAAAAAAGGCAGATTGGGAAGAGGCTTAGATCTAAAAATCAGGAAGCCTTTCGAAGAAAGAGAGTCAACATTTTGGCAGAATGTAAGAGCCCCAGATTTTGGTGGGGGTAGGCATTCACAGGTTTGGAACCATTCAGAATATTTTATTTTTGGGCCTTCACTATCCTTTTCTTTGCTCACACTTGTCCCAAGCCTCATTACAAGCTGATAAAAGTCCAAATGTTGGCTAATTTTTGTGACAATTATGAGAAGGAACACTATTCTTTCACCACTTCAGCAGTTTAAATGAATCTGGTAGCACAACTGTTGTAAGGTGATCATGAGATGAACTTAACCAGAAAAATGAGTACTTTGAGCCTTAATCTCTCTTTTTTCTCAGTCCAGTAGCAAAGCCACGTTACAACCAGCACAAAAGTCCATGTGATTGGTTTCTTTATGGTCAGTTAATTTGACAAGATCTTCATTATCTAAACAGAACCCTAAGCCTAATTGTGTACAGAGCTTGATATAACAGTTTGCCATATTCTGTATAGCTCATTTTGATATTTCTTAGAAGGATGAAATACTTTTGATTATTGAGTCAAGCATTCATCCAAGAAAATCATTTTATACAGCAAGTGATTTTGTTGGTTTGTTTTGCATGCAGATTTCTTTATGATGAGTAAACTATAGAAGTTTCAAGTATGAAAATACCAGTTTTCTTTGACATCATTGTAGTTTACCTGTTTTGCTGGAAACTCTTGAAATTGGTCATGATAGGTGACCCTCTTGAACCAATGTGTGTTGTTGATAGGTGCTTGTTCATTTCGTAGTCTGTTCCTTTTGACTATTTTTTAATTCTTCTTTTCTGGCATCATTTTCTCTACCATATTTTCCTTGTAGTTTACCTGTTTTGCTGGAAACTCTTGAAATTGGTCATGATAGGTGACCCTCTTGAACCAATGTGTGTTGTTGATAGGTGCTTGTTCATTTCGTAGTCTGTTCCTTTTGACTATTTTTTAATTCTTCTTTTCTGGCATCATTTTCTCTACCATATTTTCCTTGTAGTTTACCTGTTTTGCTGGAAACTCTTGAAATTGGTCATGATAGGTGACCCTCTTGAACCAATGTGTGTTGTTGATAGGTGCTTGTTCATTTCGAAGTCTGTTCCTTTTGACTATCTTTTAATTCTTCTTTTCTGTCATCATTTTCTCTACCATTTTTTCCTTGAGTTCTAATCTGCTGTGACTTTCTTTCTGTAGTTCTGAATCTGAGGAGAGATAAACATGAATATGATATTTAAGTAACATAAACTGCTGGATCTGTAAATTGCTATTTGGGCAGGAACTACTTTTGTTAACTATATTTTGAATCCTCTTGATGGTAACTTTTTCTTTGTTTTTCTTTTTGTTGGATTGGTTGTTTGTTTTTGATTGATTCTTTGCTAATGTTAAAATATTTTTCTTTGGATTTGCTGAGGTATCTCTCTCTGTAAAGAGAATTGCGGTATTTAAAACCATAGAGAACTTCAATTCCATTCAAGCATGGGCTTTCACTGTCCCAAATTTTAGGCTTAGAATCCCAATATCTGCTGTGCAGGTGATCATCTGGATTGCTTTATGATATTAAAGCACAGGATTTGCACCTAAAATCGGCACGTACGACTGCAAATCAAATTCATTATCCTGCCAGTCTTCACATCATACCGATATCAGGAGCTTTATGTATTTACCCTATCTTCAAGCTGTTAAGAGATTCTTCTCCTTTCAGGTCCTTCAAGAAATTACTGCTGGTCTTCTTGATTCAGCAAATGGCTCAGGGATTTTAGGTTTATTGCTAGAATATGCAGGACAATGATACTTGCTCATACTGGAGAAGCTCTCTATTTGCTGGTTGTTTTCTTGTTGAAGGTCAGTTTTATTTACTTTATTTTATTTTTTTATTGGTGCACAGCAGTTTCTAACTATTAGCATATAATAAGTGATTAGCCTGTGACAGTTAAATAAGATCAAGAGCCACCCTGTTCGGTTCATATTTTGATTTTGTCCTGCAATTTATACTTTGAGGGATCCCCTTCAGCTAATGCATGACTAGAGAGGGATTGTAGTGAATGGGACAGTTAGTGATACTTGTGATGTGTTATATGATTATGCCAATCTCACCCATTAAGTTGTATGCTGATATGTTACATGATTATGCCAATCTAGCCTGTTAAGTTGTGTGTCAATATATTTCATGAACTGTAGTAGTAGTTCAAGAAAAAGTGCTCATAAAGTCAAAACGTTTTCAACGTTAAAGATGTTGAGAATTCTCAAGATTTTGATGGAGCTTTGGTTGCACTCTTTTGTGGGAAGATGAAGTATTGCTGATATGGTAGCTCATAAGGATTTTTCCTGTACTATAGATCTTATAACTGGTGTTTCTATTCTTACTTCACTAGGATATGATGCAGAATAGCTGCAGGAATTTCCCAAATACTGGGATTGTGGTTTGGTTAACTGAGAGATAAAAAGAGGTATAGATATCAAAGCATCTCAAAGAGACTGGCTAGGGGACCCAACAATAAGGTTTAATGTGGAAATCTTGCTATCTAGCAGATTTAGTTGAGAAAAATAACTGCTGAAAAAAAATTCCCTATAAATACAATAAATGAACCAGAAGTTACATTCCTTCACATTTGTATGGTGAGCTTTGAACTTAATATGCAGAGAGCTAATAAGTTTTTGGTATACATAAGCATACACTAGGGAGATGTCTATAGTCAAAATCAATTTTAGCCCAAGTCCCAAATTACTTTCTGTAGGACACTGTACATGTTTAATCATGCTCTACTTCTGATACTTCCAAAATGTTTCTTTCTGATCTCAAATGGACAAAAACATGAGTATACCTTTTTGGCCTGTGAATTTCCAACTACTGCTTTATTAGAGTTCGTATGTAATATATTGGATTTTGTTAATGACTTTTGCTCGGGCTAGGGTGTCTCATCTGCCATTGACTTTCAGTGAACGTGAAAACAAAGCTGGTTCTTGAAGATATTCTTAGCAAGCATAGATTAACAGCTTCATTTTAAGAATGTCAGTGTCATGTCATTCAAGCCTTTTTGGTTTCAATTTGAAGTGGCTAATCCATCGATCATATTTTTCTTATGCCAAACTGCATGGATACATGTACTCATGTTCTTACATGCAAGCCAAAAATGCATATTTGGGTTTGGTTTGCAAGCTTCTAGATTGAGCATCTCCTTCAGCCACTCTCAAATTGCACTGAATGATGGAAAATTTTCACTTCCATTTTTCTCTTAGAATACCGTTGCTATGTTTTTCTTCAGCTAAGTCCTTCAGCTATTCCCATTAAAAACAGTACCATTAACCAATCTGTGCTTCATTTTAAGTCTCTCCGCACTTTTCTTGCCTAAATATGACTTCGGCCTTAATATTGACACGGAGTGTAGGAATACCCCCAAAATGTCATTTCACTATTCATTGTCTACGGGTACCCTTATCTCAAACTTTTTTTTTCTCCGGGATACACTCGATTCAGAATTGAATGTTGGTTGTTTCACAACTAGTTGTACAAAATATTGATATTAAAGATTTCATACTAATTGCGGGTATTGCAGTTGGTGCCTTACAAAATTATTATGGCATCAATTTTCCATGGCACAGTAAATCTACGATAAACTGAATGAAAAAAAGACATTATAAAAACCAAAGACAAGCATTCATCGACAACGGGAGTGACGGACGGAAGGTGACTCAAAGCTAATAATATGCCACCAACAACTCTAAAAAAAAAAAAATTAGAAAACCTTGAGAAAAATACAACTTGGAAGAGCAAATAGGTAGAGAGGAAACCCATGAGAAATTTTCAGTCTCTAATCAAGACTTTGCTAATAATAATACTCCAATTAAGTGTAAAATTTAGTTCTGTATTTTAAATTATACATCCATTTTGCTAGAAAGTGAGTAAATTTCCAAGATTGCTCAAATTAGAAATTCAAGTTGTTGCAGGACCGTCTGAAGGAAGGAAAATGTGTATAAATGTATATACACACACCCACACGCATGATAGTCATTGAAATTTTGGTTGTTATCTTGTTGAACTTCCAATGCCATTAGCGTAGCTTTCTTTATTAAGTAAATCATGCTAGATAATTTTCAGTTAGTTTATTATTAATATTGGTTTCTATTTTATATATTCAAAGAAAAAACTTAGGGTGCATTTGATAAAACTGAAATCTGAAAACCGAAGTTTGAAATCTAAAATCTGATGTCTGAATCTATTAAGTTATTAAATTATTAAGTATTAAATCTAATACATTTGAGTACATATCACATTCAGTGATAAGTGAATAGCTTATCACTTAATTTTGGAAGCAAGTTTTGAATAGGAAATTTAGTGCCACTTAATTAATTAGGATATTCAATTTTTCGTTATCAAACGGTCTGAATGTGTTAAGATCTAAATCCATTAAGTTTTAGTGTTGAATTGGGTTATAAAATAGGGTCTTAGTCAATTCCAGTGGTCAAAAAACTTAGTCAGTTCTATTGATCTTTAAACTTTGCGATTTATTCCTAATTGATTCTTAGGTCCTACTATGATTTTTTACCAAGGTTAAGAAAGTGTGTCTTGAATTGCAATGAATCTGCCAACTATTAAGATGCTGGTCAATTTAGTATCATAGAGAAAGCCGTGAAGTGGATGGAAAATGCTGATGCATCTTTAGTTTGAATTTACTGAAGGGGTAGGAAGCTTAAATTTGGGCACCGAAATGGTATCAGAGCCCAGAAATGATCTATATTCCCTTAAACAATAACGATGATTATTCTGGTTGGCTAACAAGATTACGATTCCCAAATTTAAGTCAAAATTTAAGTTTGGGTTGGCTAATAAGATATTTATATTTATGATTCTTGATATAAAGGATATTTTTATTTGTAAAGTATATTCAGGATGCATTATAATTATTGATAAGGTATTAAATGAGTTTGTGGAAGTTTCCATAAAATTTTTTCAAGAGAATAGAGTGCATACCGTATCAAGACTAGCAATTTCTTATTAACGAAAGAAAAGGGTCCATTATGCTTCCATAGCTTTATTTCTGATTTTTTATCGACAAAACTCCAGCTACCTCTCCTAGTACTTCTTACTTGGGCGTTTTAACCTCCAATCACAAGGGTGACTTCATTTAAGGGACGCTTCAGAGTTTTGCAGCACAATAGTTTCGTTTTTTACCTCTAAGCGTACTCAGATGCAAAAGATGAAAAGTTATGAAGAAAACTTCTTCTTTTATTAATGAAGAAATTGTAGTACAAGATAGATTTAGCACACCACTCTCTCTCTTTATTCACTAAACATGAACATGAGAGAAAATTTTATAAGGTAAAGTTGCTTCTTCGTGGACTCAATGAATGCCCTTTTGTACAGGCCATCTATCTATTTATAGAGGTTGGTGGACTTTAATGCCGGACTTGAATTGATTCCTTTCACGGACTTCAACTTACTTCAATTCCGTGGACTTGAACAAAATATTTTGGATTCCAGGAGTGACGTAAGTGCTTACGTCTTATTCTATACTTTGACTGCTTGATGCGGTGTTCTTATCTTTTTTTTTTTTCTCCTTGGTACAAGTCGAACACGTGTTATTTTTGTGTTTTCTCATCCTGCATAAAGTTTTGATTGTTTTATTGCTAGATTTTATTCGACTGCTTTCAAATAAACGTATTTTTCAATTTAGATAATTCATTGTTGCCTGCGGGGTCTTTTCTGCATAAGTAGTCATTATTGAAAAAAAATGCTCCATTTCCTCCATATATACGAAAATCTTGTTTGGGTGTATTTTCAAAATTTTGCAGAACAATTTTTATTCAAAGGGCTCTTTGATAATGTATCTTGTTTTCAGAAAAGTATTCATATTCCTTTCGTTGAGGGTAAACTTTTATGTCCAACTTTTTATATTTCATAATTGTGATATGATGAAAGATATCATATTTATTTGAATCTTCAAAGTCTAGTCCAACTGAAATAATCTTGAGCATCAAAATATCTTTGGGACTACATGTAAGATTATTTTGATAAATATGCTTTATTGCTTCTTGATTCTACTAAGGGAGTTTGAAAATTTCAGAAAACTTAGTAGTCGTGTGTATAGCATTGATTACTCCAAAATTGTACCACTTTTGAATAAAATTGCTATCATATCCCTGCACACAATTCATCCGAGAATAAATTTTTATGAAATCTATATAATATATTTTCGTATTTTGTAAACCATATAATTCTCTCATAAAAGAATTGTATTTAGAAATGAGCGGATGTTCATTACTTATATTATCGAGTATGGGTATCTTTTGAGATGTCTGGTTCCAATTAAAATATGGTCGCAAGGATATTCCATTATTGAGAGAATTTATTCCAGATCTCTCAATCTGTTGACAATTTTCTTGTCCCGTTGAAGGGGGAAGATTTTTCATTTCATCCCTTTTGAATAGGTCATATAATAATGGTTCAATCTTGTTGTAAAGGCTGGTCATAATCTGATCTTGTTCGGCATGCTTGATAAGAAGTTCGAAAACTTTTTTATTTATTTCTTGATAATTCACAATATTCATTACGTCATTTATAGGACTAAATAAGTTATATAGAAAACCCTCTAAAATTTTGGGACAAAAATTAAGATTATGCAAAAATAAAACTTAAAGGTGAAAATAAAATAATTAGGGTAAAACTTATGAGGTATAATTCAATTGATGAATTCAAAAAATAAATTAAAGAATTATTAGAAATACTTTTAATAAGAGAGTAATTTTTCCTATTCTTCACATGCTTTTATGGTAAGAAACCATGGTGAAATAAGAAGAAACCATGGTGAAATAAGAAGAAATAAATCTAGAATGGTTGTAAAATAATGAACCATATTCGACGGATACTTTTTGTCACATAAAGAAACTCTCATCAACATGAGTAGAAGAAATAAAGTATATTCTAAATTTGATTGTAAGAGTGGGTTTTGACAAATAAAAATGCGTTCTGATAGTATTAGTTGCATAACGTTTAGTACTCCTCAAGGACAATATGAACGATTAGTTATACCGTTTGGATTAAAATATGCCTTCCAAATATATCAACGAAAAATGGATAAAATCTTTAAGGATTATCCTTTCGTATATGTATACGTTGATGATATCTTAATAATATCAAATTCAATAGATTAGAGCATTTAAATATATTTTCTGATCTATGTCTAAAACATGGAATTGGATTTTCAGAGAAGAAAGCAACGATATGATTAAAATAAATTGAATTTTTAACTCTAGAAATAAATGGTGAAGGAATAAAAATGCAACTACATGTTTTAGAAAAAATATAAGCATTTTCTGATAAACTAGAAGATAAAGAACAATTACAAAGATTTTTGGGAATATTAAATTATGCGTTAGATTTTATCTGCAATTTAGTAAAAAAAAAAGAACTAAAAAAATTGTTGAAGAAAAATAATAAATATGAATTCTCTGATAATCATATAACTCTAGTAAAGAAAATAAAAGAACAATGTAAAATTTATCATTTTTAACCCTATCATCGGATGAAAATAATCTTATTTTAGAAACTGGTGCTTTTGAGGAAGTATTGTGAGGATTCGAAAGTTTTTATTTATTTTATTTTTATTTTTATTAAGTTAATTTCTAATTTCTTTTATTGTAATTTACTTGCCTTAATTTCTTGGTTGCTTTAAGGGTTGAGTGTGACGCCCCGGAAAAAAAAAATTCAGGCTTTGGAGAGTAATTAAACTACAACTAAAAGACCAAACTAACCTTAAAATTTTAGACTAATTACCATGCGACCATCTCATAAACTATCAAAACCTATAACCAAACCAAGAGAGGAATGTTTCTGTGATAGAAACTGCATACAAGCAGCTGCTAGTCTAAGCGGTGGAAGGTTGGAAGCTAGCTGAGATTGGGGCGGTGATTGAAGGAAAAAAAAATCCAATGGAAACAGCTTCCAAAGTTGCTAAGCAGAAATGGTGCATTGAGAAAGTGAATAAGAGTAGGTTTGGGCAGTAGAACCGAGAGAAGCTCATCTTATATGCCTGTCTGCCACTTCCCACCGAAAAGAAAGACTGCTCCTCTTTAATCAATAAGGCCGAGAGAAAACAAGAAGAATACAACTACTTATTATTTTGCTTGTTATCACCATGAGATAAACAAGAGAGAGAGCCGCGGGAGTTGAGAAGAAACTGTCTTCCTGAGAGCAAAGTAAAACTTCAGTTACTCTCCTTACCAAGCCAACACCGAGAGTAAACAAAGAAAGTGAGAAAAGAGAGCAAAACTGAGAAAGTGTGAGCGAGAGTGGTTAGCTTCATAATCCATTAGCCAAAGCTAAGAAAGGTGCCGCAAGGAAGCAAGAGAAGTTGGAATAGCAGCTGGGCAGTCTGCAATTTTTCTAACGCTAGGAGGAAAGAAAGAGGTAAAAGTACTAGCAACCCACTAATCTTTGAAGATACTTGAATTTATATGATTGTATGTTGGATTTGAGCCATGGAAGTTAAGTTTTGTTGAAAACATCTCTTGTTTCTCAATTATTTCTTTGTTGCCAGCTTTATTCCAGATTTGCACTCACCACTTGAACTGCATATTCGTCCATGATAAATGTCAAATCAGTTCTTGCTCAAAACATGAAAGTTGTAGGGATTTGAGTTAGGTTTCTACCCAGAAAATTTCAGCTCAATCGGAGTACTGTAACTTGTGAAATGACTAAAATATCCCTGACTGCCCAAATGCCCTGTTTAACCGACAGCTTTCTGTTTTCTCTGAAATTTCATTTTTTGACCATGAAAATGCATGATCTGGCTTTGGAGGTCTTCATAATAAATGTAGGCCTATGTCGTAGCTTCGAAACGCCATAAGATTCATCTCAATCCGATAAGTGTAGTTTCAGTTGTGATTAAAATGCCAAAAGGTGAGAGGAACTTGATGATTTTAGAATTTCCTTTATTTGACATGATATTTGTGATCTAGGGCTTGGACTTGAGCAAGGAAACTATCTATGATGGATGAGGATCATGAGCTGTGGTTGGTGAGTAATTCTAAAATTGTTTCCAAAGTTACTTTTTGAACTATTTCTTGCACTGTTTACTCGATTGCATATCATGTGTGTTTGCATGTATGCCATGCAATGATTTGGCTCAAATGAGTGTTTGGAAGTTTTGTACTTAACACCAACGTCTCTACCTTAATGAAACTTGACTTGCCTTAAATGTTGGAGCACCGATGGCTCCCTTGTATTGCTTGACTATTACTTGATCTATTTGAGCGTTGGATGTTTAAGTACAATGATTTCACTGGCTCACAAGAGTAATAAACTTACATTTGATCACTGATTCATGACATCATCTAAAAGCACTATTATGAAACTTATTTGATTGTTGATTTTTACTGGACACTCGCTGATTTTCTAGCTCACCCCAAAATATTTATTTCCTCTCTACAGGGTTCGAGGCAAAGGAAGCACTTGTATTAACTTATTAGTATGACTTGATGGAATATCTCATGTATATTTTGAATTTCGATTCACTTGTGGTATGTAAATTCATGGAGTATTTGATGTAATATTGAAAATTTACATTGTAGTTTATTTGAGAACTGTAGTGAGTCCTGACGAGAGTTGAGCAGACGGTCCGTCGAACCCTTTTGGTTCGCCTTAGGGAGAGGTGGGGTCGTCACATTGAGTCGATATTAATCCTTTTACTTTATATAATTTGGTGCATGTTAAGTTTCGTAGTGCGTTATGCAAGTGTGATCAACTAGTAAAGTGTGTTGAATAAATTTGGTGGATATGAAAAAATTTTTTGCAAAAGAAATTATGTGACAAGAAATGTTAAGAGTTAATTGGAGGAGTACTAGATATGTTTGTGATTAGAGGTAAATAGAGAGACAAAGAGATAGGCATGAATCATGTTTTACCAAGTGTCGATCACTCAAAGGAGTTTTGACCAAGACTTTTCTTTCTTTATTATTTCTTTCTTATTTTCTTGTCTTAGCCAAAAATTTGAAGAGAAAAAAGAAAAGAAATTGTTGGAATTGAAGTATTGAAAGGTGATTGAATGAAAAGAGATATTTTAAAAAATAGATAGATAATAGTTGTTTGGTTGCCAAGTGTTGACAATCTAAGTCTTCTTTGACCAAGACAAGTCTTGTATTTATCTTCCATTTCACAACCAAAATTCCTTTATTTTTTTCCTTCTTGTGGCTGAGAGAGAGAGAACTCAAGTTCTAGCTTGATTCTTGCTTGATTAGTGAGAAACTCAACAGGAAATCCTAATCCACTTCGTAGATCTTAGAGGCAAGTGCGGAAAGGAACTCTTGGTGAAGTTTTGGAGGAAGAAAACTTTTGATTTGCATTCCATTATAGAATTTTAATGTATTTTGCTAGAAATTTCCTTTTTTTTCACTTATCTTGAAGTTTATTTGATTTATGAAGCAAAAGGAGTTAAAAGGAAGCATGTTTATGGAAGATTTCATGGTTTTGTTAAGCTTTATTGATATTTTTAGTTTTGATGCAAGATATATGTAGTTTAGTTTAGAACTTTATATATGTGAAATTTTGCTAGATTTCTTTGCTTAGAACATGTATTGTATACCTTATGATATGTTATCTTGATTGTTAGTAGTTTTGCCATGAAAATAGGGTTGAAATTGGAAGGTTAATTTGAGGAATTTGGGGGATAAGTTGCTGGAATTTTTCGTTGTTGATCAAGTGAGAGGGAGTGAGAGTTGAGGGGTAAGTTTAGGGTGATTTGGACCTACTTTGCTTGAAATTACTTGAGAACAGCTTAATTTTTACATATAGGTTGTATTTTAATCAGAACCAAGCAATTTAAAAGGAGGGAATTAATGGTTGCTTCAAATATGTTTTATAGTTGGATGTGTCCAACTTTAAACTCGTGATTGTGTCATTTTTCTTCAAAAAGTCGTACCTATACTTACCATGTGTTATCCCATCTTGTGTTTGTCGTCTTGAATTACATGAGTTATATTTACGTGATTTTTTCTTGATTTTCACAAGTATAAGTTATGAATTTGAAAATTTATGTTGGAAGTTTGATAGTTTCTTGCTCTATGATATCTAATCGCAGATTTCGAGAGTGGCCAGGAGGCAGAGATTGAATTTGATATTTTTAGACTTTAATTGGTTGGTGAGTGTTTCAAATCCTATGACGATCCCACTTCTTCCTAGGGCGTACTCCAAGGTTTGAAATACTCACCAACCAATTAAAGTCTAAAAATGTCAAGTTCAAGCTTTGCCTCCTGGCGGATGTGTCCAACTTTAAACTCGTGATTTGTGTCATTTTTTTTTAAAAAGTCGTACCTATACTTACCATATGTTACCCCATATTGTGCTTGTGGTTTTAAGTTACCTGAGTTATATTTACGTAGTTTTTTCTTGATTTTCACAAATATAAGTTATGAATTTGAAAACCTATGTTGGAAGTTTGATAACTTCTTGCTATACGATATCTAATCGTAGATTTCGAGAGTGGTCAGGAGGCAGAGTTTAAACTTGACATTTTTAAACTTTAATTAGTTGGTGAGTGTTTCAAATCCTATGATGATCTCACTTCTCCCTAGGGCGTATTTTAGGGTTTGACGTACTGTCCATCCAACTCTCGTCAGGTTTCACTTACAAGTCCTAATACAATACAAGAATCTCAATAACCAAAGCAATAACAATTTCGAAATTAAGATATATATACATTCGTGGCCTTCAAATTTTCATAAAGACTCATAATATAATAAGGGATTCATACTCAAGTCAAATTGCTAAAATAAAAAGAACACTAGAACAAAAGACAAGGAACTTAGACCAAAACGCCAGCCTTCTTTAACTTACTCGTTCACGTTCTCATCCTTTGGAAGGAAAACAAACTAATGTAGTGAGTTAATACCTAGTGAAGTTCTAAGGCAACATGCAAATGAAGTAGTAAGTTGGCAGTTATATATATCCCAATCTTAAACTGAAGAAAGTAAGCGTTCACAAGATAAGTCAGATAAACAATTAACACTTTCACGTATAAGGATATAGTTGGCTCTTACGAGCTAGTTCGACAATGGTTTGATCAGGATCCGTTGACACTTCGTCAATCATGAAAATATAGTAACAAATCCAATAGGGCACCGCTTATCTCTAATCTCCGTCTACCGATCAACCCCCTATCGGACTCGAATTCCAAAGATAATAATAAAGATAATACTTGAGCATACTAGATCCAGTGGAATAAACAGTAAACAGTACTCATAATTCGTCAATCTCTTCGATCAAATCCTTGTTGGTTCGATTCGACTAACTAGTGGATGGGATTTGGAATTCCTGACAATTATTTTTAAATCATGCACATGAATATTAATTCACTTGCAAATAGTACACAATACTTTAATCAAGTTAGGGCAAGTATGATAGAGTACACATTTGTTCAATCGAATAATTTAAGTATTATCCGATTACAACAAGAGAGCATTTCAATTAAGTGGCAAGTATTACGATGCAATTTAAAACACTCACCAACCAATTAAGGTATAGAAATGTCAAGTTCAGGTTCTGCCTCCTGACCACTCTCAAAATTTACGATCAGATATCGTATGGTAAGAAATTATCAAACTTTCAACATAGGTTTTCAAAATTCATAACTTATACTTGTGAAAATCAAGGAAAAATCAAGTAAATGTAACTCACGTTACTCAAGACCACAAGCACAAGATAGGGTAACATATATTTAGTATAGGGACGACTTTTTGAAAAAAATTGACCCAAATCACGAGTTTAAATTTGGACACATCCAACTATAAAATATGTTTGGGACAACCAATATTTCCCTCTTTTTAAATTGCTTGATTTTGACTAAAATCCAACCTATGTGAAAATCAAGGTACTCTCAAGTAATTTCGAGCAAAGTAGGTCCAAATCACACTAAATTTACCCCTCAACTCTCTCACTTGACCAATAATGAAAAATTTTCAGCAACTTGTCCCCCAAATTTCTCACATTAACCTTCCAATTTCAACCCTATTTTTATGGTAAAACTACTAATAATCAAGATAACATATTATAGGGTGTACGATATATATTCTAAATAAGGAAATCTAGCAAAATTTCACATATATAAATCTCTAAACTATATATATCTTGCATCAAAGTTGAAAATTTCAATAAAACTTAACAAAACCATGAAATCTTCCATAAGCATGTTTCCTTTAACTTCTTTTGCTTCATAAATCGGATAAATTTAGAAATAAGTGAAAAAAAGGAAATTTCCTAGCAAAGTATCTCAAAACCCAGGATGGAATGCAAACCAAAAGTTTTCTTCCTCCAAAATTTTACCAAGAGCTCCTTTCCGCACTTGCCTCTAAAATCTACGAAGTGGATTAGGGTTTCTTGTTGAGTTTCTATGAGGACCCGAAGATTTTCTTATTTATCGAATTTTACTTAAATATTTATTTACTCATTTTCTCCTAATTATTTATTTCGACCATTTAAAATCCATTTATATGGAACAACGCCTCTTTTATATTTTTAAAGCGTTTTGTTGGAAAAATTCATTTTTCAAAAATTCGTTTAGTTCGGAACAATGAGTGCACGTCTTTCGAGACTATACTTGAATCGGGAGTGTATTAATATTGGAGAGTTAAGAATGATCAATGACAGATTAAGAAAGGTTAATTGAGGAATTAATACTCGACTCATGTGAGGACTCACAAAATTCATCTATTTTAAACTCCTAATTCAAGCTCATTTAATTATTTATTTGGCCAATTGCCCCTGAATATTATTTCTAACCTCTTTAGACCTAATTACATGGGTCTATAGTTTCATTATATTTTTAAAGTGACTTGTTTCAAAATTTAATTTTTGGAAGCTCATTAAGTGAAAATAGTGAATACGCGATTTGGAATTTTAGCTGGTGTGGAAATACCATAAGTTGGGAAAATTGGAGAATCGTATAATGGATTTAAGATAGGTATTTTATGTTTAAATACTCAAGTGATAGTTATTAGTACCATCGTTATAAGAAATTCTTGGAGGTTTCGCTTTATCGTGCTTAATTTGGAGATACGCGTTTTTACACGCGCGATTTAATTGAGGGACTTTAGACCCTTATTTTGGGACAATTAAGAGTAAATAATATTAATATGATTATAAGTATATTGGAGGTTTAGTGCACTAGTGAAATAAACTCGAGAGAAATCGAGCACAAAATGCGCGCGTACGCGCACTATTGGAGAGTTGACTTTTGTACACTTGAAACCCACAATTGCTAAGCTTCTCACGGAAGCCTTACCATCAGCAAACACTCTCCATTTCTCACCTCAACACAACCGAACAGCAAGGGAAAGAAGAACCAGCCTTGCTCCATCACTTTCTACTCCAAATTCATGCACCAAATCTCAACCAAATCAAACCAAAATTGAACTACACCTAGTTGAACACTTGGGGATTGTATCTAGCTAAAAAGGGAAAGCTTTTGATGGTTCATTTTGAAGCAAGGAAGGGCCGAAAATTCTGTCTTGTTCACCCATACAAGTAAGTGACGATCAATCCTCAAATTCTTAGCCTATGGAAGTTGATTTACACTTATGAGCTTAGATATTCATGTGGGTGGCATGTTATTGTTGAAAAATTTTGAATGTGGGCTCTATGAACTCCCACTCTTGGATTGATAGCTGATGTGATGATTGATGACGGATTTAATGTTGGTTTAGTACTCAAATTGGTAGATT